ATAACTGAACCTTCTACATTACATCGCCCTGAAGGGATCATAATCGTCAGACGAGGGATTAGATAGGATGAAGATGCTCGTAAAATTGTAAAAGAAACTCATTCGAGCTCTAAGTGGAAATACCTAAAAAGCAATCGAAATATTTTTGAGCTTATTTAAAACGTCAGTGTCACAAAAATTATTTAGCTACAGGTTGGTTCACAATATCCCCAGCATCCATTCTTTTAAAACTATTATGTATATTGTACTTCTTCTCTCTTCTGTCCTTGGATAATAACTTTTGGCAGGAATTCGTTTCAGCTTTTTTTTTTTTTTTAAATGTATCGGGACTTTCTTTAATTTCCCTTCTAATACCATCTTGGACGACAGAAAATTTATGACTAAAATATTTACCAGGCAGAAGCAACTACTACAGGGATGACACTTTGCTTTTTTGAATCTTCAATGCAAAGGGTGAAGTGAATAAGGCGGATCCCTCAAACATTGGCTGTGTGAACAAGTGTAGACTTGCAAAGTCACAAAGAACAGTCATAACCGATCTCAGACGATTTTTATTCCAACCCGACTATATCTTTAACCTTTATATTTAGCAACCTGAAAGAACAATCCATAATAAGCAGCCGAAGAAAGGATGTTAGAGACCCAATGCCGAGGGCTTTAAATTCTCGTAAACTAAACAAATAACGTTCCTCAATCTCGCTGTAGAATATTTCGAACCATTCTACTAGTTTTAGTTGTAATCTGCCTATGATCCAATTATCCTTTAACTCATTTCAACTTTTCCATCTACATAGCCAACCTTCCACTTTGATTCGCAACTGTGGAGTAACATGAGTGACTTTAATCCTCAATTGGGGGAGACGGGGCTTGACTTTCAAGAGACCAAGCTACCGACCTATTGGAACACATCCTTCTCCAAGATCTGTCTGGGGATGAAGATTGGTAATCTGTCCAGGTTCATTCTCGTCAAAAAGCAAGCCAGCTCTTTGTACTCACTGATCGCTGACGGACAATACCGTGACACGAGACTGGGTCGTAATACATGGAAGTTGCTGATTGGCTCCGAGGCATCCTTGCAATCGAACTGTGACAAGGAAGGGTTCAATCCCACTTCGAGGAACGAAGGAAATGCCAAAGCTAGAATCGGTATCATTGCCAACGACAACAAAAATTGCCGCTATTGTGATTCCAGAATTGGCTTTGGCACAGGTGGGTACGGAGACGACTCCAACACGTGTGGGAACGAAGCAAGGCACAATTCAGATAATGGAGACAAACACATCAAAGCCATGGGGTACATCTTGGTTCAGTGACAAGGAAATCGATCTAATCTTCAAGAATTTAACAAGGAGCCAACCCTAAAAGACTTGTATATAGGAGGATGTAGCAAAAGAGGTCTGAAAAAGAATGTAGACACCGAATCTGAACTTATCATGTTTCGTCTTGATAGGATTTCCACTCCCTCCTTCCTCCAAAAAGTGCAATTTGCGACAGATAAAAGTGCTTCGTGGTTAGTCCAGCGAGGGGGGGTGGGGGATAAGAGGATAATACGGGGGGATGGGAGAACAAATGCCTTTCAGGTAATTGAATGGATAGTGGCCTATACCTATTGTAATCCACTAAGATATATCAGACCAATGGAATATGTAGAAGTGGTAAGCAGTTTACTATTTCATGTGAAAAGGGGAAAAACTAATAGAATATCTTGCTGCGTTTGGTCCTTCCAGAGTATTTTCATGTGTAATACTTCTTTTCTTTAGAAACTTGTGAAAGTTGCCAGAAGAAGCTTCTCCTTCTTTGCCTGGTTTACCTTTCACACATCCTTGTAAGATAATCTTTTTCAATGGCAATCAGTTTAAAATGAGTAAATGACAGCAACTTTTGTCTCCTCATTGTCAAGTACTTATGTTTTTCCCTCTTTGACTCGTTTGTTCTGTTCTCTGCCCAAGAAGTCTTTTAAAAGATTCCTTGGACGGAGAACAGAACAAAACTTTTCAGCAACACGTAGTGAACAGCTTTTAATCTCAGCATTACTTTAAGCGTAGTAATCCAGTTTCAGCTTGATCTCCTTTCCTATTTCACGATTCAACAATACTTAGTTGCATTAATGTAATCAGTAAATGGCTTGAACCCGGGGGTAACATGTGAACGTGTAGTCTGATCGTCCGGGTGAGCGTAGTCCTGAGAAGGACTGTTGTCGGTGGTAGTGACTGACGTTTCGACAACCTGTGCAGAAGTCATCATCAGAGTCAAGTGACTCTGATGATGACTTCCGCACAGGTTGTCGAAACGTCAGTCACTGCCACCGACAACAGTCCTTCTCAGGACTACACTCACCCGGACGATCAGACTACACCTTCACATGTTACCCCCGGGTTCAAACCATTTACTGCATACTCNTACTTTCATTCCAAAAACGAAAAGAAATAACAAAAAGTGAAAACGGTCCTTTCAGCAGATCACCAGTGAATAAAGCTTACTTACTTCAATTGGATCATGAGAAGGTCCACGTTTACTGTTGCATGCCTGATAAACTTGAGGCCTGCAAGGGAACGGTGGATGGACACTTGTCATTAAAATCTATAGTAGTAAGATAATTGTAAGTATTTGTTAATGTACCAGTCATGCACAGCGCATACAATTCAAAACTTACAATACAATTATCGTCACTATTACCACTTTACTAGTGCGTCCACTACACTGTATGATGCATCAGCCAAATAGAGGGAATGGTACATATAAACCCCTTGAGATAACTGTGAACAATTTTCCTATATGCATCTCCAATTAAAGACTCGATGGAGGTGCAAGTATAGAGAGCAACATTCTGAAAAGCATGAGTAACAATAATCGATTCGACCGTGACCGCCATAATTCAACTTCTATTAACAACAACCTGCGAGCTGTCCTGTGGGATACGCCTTTCAAATGTTCTCTCCAGTCGTGAGTAATGACGTCAACAGATCACCTGGAGATTCTTGTTTCCTGTCACAAGCCTGATGTCCTTAAGGGCTGCGGGAGTGGTCTGTATAATTACCAGCATACGTCTGTTTCCTTATACTAATGCATATTGGTGTGTGTAGATTACCTTACACAGAGTGCAATGAGACCTTGTTTGTGTCAACGACGTAAATTCAAATCGCTCATTATGTGAATGAAGAACAATGTTTCTCTCAGATAAAACGATTTGTTTGTTTCATTTTTTTTAGATGTACAAACATCTAACAACGGATTAAGAACTTTGCCTGTTCTCTTGAGTATAATTTTTGTAACTATTTAAGCTCCTAATTTTGTATGTATTTTCAGTCTAATGATGGTATGGTTTAAACCGAAATATAACTGTCACTTAACATCCTGGTTTTCTGTTCATTTGCTGTCAAATTTAAAGACACGATGAATTTACTCGGCCTATCGTTCACCTTTGAATTTTTAAATTCTTATTATCACCATTGACAAAGGAAATTTTTATACAAAAAAGAAAACAATGCATGTCATCCAAGTTTCATTGGTTAGAAGGGACTTAGAAATTTTGATTAAGCGGACGTTTTAACCAAACTCCAATTTAAATTATTAACGTAAATTCTCGCATCTCTGGGGAATTTATGATCGGAAAGTGATCTGCGCCATGGAAAATTCAAATTCTATATATTTTCTGTTGCTGTTCAGCGTTATCATGACCGCCTTTGTTACATCAAAAGGTTAGTTTCACAATCGTACTTCCGTGAGTGAAGGAAACTGTTCGGAAGTTTGATCTTTCATAATCGCATTTGGCCTAAATAACTGAATTTTTTTTAGGGATATGTCTTGTTAGTTTTATCATCTTCAGTATCAGTACAAATTTTTTAAACTTCCTAACCAATTCATTTGTATTCGGACGGATATTTAGACGGAGAAATGGTTCTGCGGCAGTAAACTTAAAAGGAATATTAAATTTTGCAGTTAAATTGCGAGTGTTTTCTACGGTGGCTTCAAAGGGACATACACTTTTCACTCTTTTTTTTTTACTTGCGACTTTCCTACTACTTTCTTGCGACTTAGCTTCGACTTTCTTGCGACTTAGCTCCGACTTTCTTGAGACTTAGCTGCGACTTTCTTGCGACTTGCTACTTTCTTGCGACGTAGCTGCTACTTTCTAGCTACTTACCTAAGACTTAGCTGCGACTTTCCTGCTACTCTCTTGCGACTTAGCTGCCTGGCTACCTTGTAAGGCCGCGTGCGTCAGCTGGCCAGGTTGTTTTATTTGAAAACAACATGGACTCCTATTATTAATAGGTAGTCTTTTGCCTTGGCTTTACAGTATAGCTATGAGGTTTTTCGCCGTTTTTACTTTCATTTCGGTGTGCTCTACATCGCTGGCAGCGCTTCCATCTTACCCTCCTGCAATAAGGAGCAATGCAGTAATGCGCGACGAGATAATCAAGAACTATAAGGCTAGTTGTTGGGACTACCCGGATTTTTACACTGGAAAAACAAAACATAGATTGCATGACAGGAAAACTGAACATTTCAAAGGGCTCACAAGTGCCTGTCATACATCTGCTATCGCAGACCACGTCACGTGAACTGGTCACAACATGAAATGGGACCACTTTGAGATATTAGTAAAAGGACGTTCTGATATTCATTGCAAGATAAAGGAGACTCTATTAATTCAAGAACTTAAACCTGCTCTAAACGATAATGTCAGCAGCGATAAGCTTTATCTGTATTAGTTTTCATCTTTGAATATGCAAAATTTTTATTTTTCCTCTCAACTTTTGTTCGTTGTTATGTTAATTAATTACTTATCTTAAATTTAAACTTAGTCGCCACGCATATTATTATCCGTCAATTCTGAAGATGTACGTGGAAACATACGATACGTCAACTAAAGTTTACTAATCTTGTTTTCCAACATACGTTTTACTGTCATGTTTGTAACTGCAGTTTGTGTGCGATTCCTTATTAAACTATGATGGCCAGAGAGAAAGAATTTTTAAGAACTATTTTAATCTTGGGCTTACTGCCTCAGGAATCGCATTATTTTTCGTAAGTGTACACGGTAAAGGGATCTCGTTAAGACAATTGAAAAGAATACTCAGAAGGTTGGGATGTACAAGACGTCGGCGTCGAAGTAATTTGAATGACGTGGTAGAAGCAGTCGAGGAGGAACTGAGGGGGAGTGGAAGCCTTCTCGGATATCGAGCGAGTCATCAAAGACTCATTAATCAGCAAGGTCTTGTTACTACGGGGGAAGTCGTTCGACGAGGACGAATTTATAGGTGTAATGGGCCAAATTACTTAAGGCACATTGACGGCTATGACAAACTAAGACCGTTTGGATTCTGCATTCATGGTGCAATTAATGGCTTTAGTGGAAGGATCCTATGCCTGGAGGTTACATTTTCAAACAAAGACCCTCATATAGTAGTTCAATATTTCTTAGACTACACAAGACAGTTAGGAGGTCCGGCAAGGATTGTAAAGGGAGATTATAAGGGGATCTGAGAACAGGAACTTAGCAGCTATTCAGCGTTTCTTTCGGCGGTCCATGGACGACGACTTTGCAGGTGATAAGAGTTTCATGTATAGGAAATCTACGGCAAACCAAAGAATTTAAGTATGGTGGGGACGTTTAAGGCAAGGATGTGCAGAATGGTGGATTACATTTTTTATGGACTTGAGAGATTTTGGTTTGTATTACGATGATGATATAATACACCGCAAATTACTGAGGTTCTGTTTCATGGATGTCATACAAAGTGATCTACACAGAGCTGCACTGGAGTAGAATGTTCACCGAATTCGGCCGTCTAGCAATGTGAAATCTCCGACGGAAAAGCCAGATGTACTCTACTTCGTTCCAGCATCAGCTGAGAGTCAACATTATATATGACTCCTATTGACATCGACGAAATCGAAATCGCACAGCATACGTGTGCCGAGCAACCACAAGCGATAGGATGTCCTTATTTTAAAGAGCTCTGTGATCTAATCATGGAAAATGAAGGTTTAGAACCCCCTACAACAGCAGAGGAAGCTCTCCAACTCTACTTAGACTTACTGGACCATATTAATGCTATACCACAGAAGAATGGGTGAATTTCATTCCTGTTCACAGGCTACCCAGCATGAACACTGTTTTTGGTACTCGCAAAAACAAAGCGGTCTATGCGGCCTTAGTGTTATGTTCGCAAAATATTCAGTGTGGTCAAATGTACATCGCAAAGTATTCAGTGTTGTTGGTCAGATCTAAAGCCGCTATCTTTAACCGCAGCTGGATACCGAGCCGCGCAAGTACAACAATTGAAAATACTTATTAAAATCAACTTTA